TTTTTTTTTTTTTTTTTTTTGGTACTGGGGATTGAACTTGGGACGTTGGGCTTGTGAGGCAGGTGGCAGAACCACTGGGCTAAATCCCCAGTCCAATTTCATACTTTCTTATCATTGCTACATATCTACTAGAGCAAGACACTGTAGAAACATTAAGGAAAATAAAAATTATATCTTCCCCTGTCAAAGACTTATTGTTTAAATGACAAGGAAAATTCTAAGCAAATTAACAACTGCCTAACAAGATGAAAACAAAGCGTGTATTACAAAAACTGTGTACTTTATTTCCTGCTGGAAGCTTTAGGCAAGTGGTTCTCAAATGCATGTTTATCAGCATTGCCTGTAGAGGTTTTAAAAAATAAATTCCCTGTATCCTCCCCTAGAGATTCTGCTTTAAGAGACCTGGGGCCAGTCTGAATCTAAAAACCTCATAGGTGATTTTGATGCGTAGTAAATTGGTTACCATCAATAAATACTGTTAATCCATTGGTTCAAGGTGCATTTTTAAAACCACGTTTACCTTTAACTGTGTTAAATTTGTTGCAAGATGAGAGGAAGCTCAGCATAGTATTTAAGAACTTCTGGAATCAGATGTTTGAATTCAAATCTCAGCTTTGTTACTAATTAGCTGTGTGAGTCTGGGTACATTACCTAACCTTTGTGGCTTAGCTCTGTCAGTGGTAACATGGGAGTAATTTACAGGTTGCGCATTCCTAATCAGAATATCTGAAATCTGAAGTGCTCTGAAATCCAGAATACTTCTGGTCTCAAAAATTTCAGATAAAGAAGGTTTGATCTATATGTCATACTATTACTGAAGAAGTTAAATGAATTAATGCCCATAAAGTATGTAACAGAACAAGCACAGAATTAGCCCCATAATATAACTTGTTATTATTTTAACAAGTGCTAAAATCAAATAGAATGTCTAGTATCTTGAATAAGTCTGTTCATAGATACAGAGATTAATACTGGGAAATAGACATAGGAATAACAGCTTGCAGATCAATAGGTATATAACTCACCTCTTAGTTCCTTTTCCCCAATACACTTTTGACTATTAAGAGAAAAAAAATTTATTAAAATTATTCAAATTAGACTTCCCATAAGAAACCAGGATTATTTAAGTGCCCATGTTTCCCATAAAAAATCTTTATATATTGCAAATTAAATGTTATCCTAATTAATAGTTCTAGTTGGAACACAGCATGATTTGAAGTATAGAGTGTAAGGTTCTTATTCAATGTAAAGCAAAATTAACTATAGACAAGTCCATTTTTATTTTATTTATTTGTTTGTTTGTTTGTTTGGTTTTGGTTTTTTTGAGACAGGGTCTTACTATGTAGCTGAGACTGACGTGGAACTCACTGTGTAGCCCAGGCTGGTCTCGAACTCACAGTGATCCTCCTGCCTCAGCCTCCTGAGTGCTGGAATTACAGGCATGCGCCACCAGACAAGTCCATTTTTAACTCAGTCTGTGTTACTTGTTACATGTTACATGATAATGAGGATCTCCTTAGAAGGTGTTATAATACCAACTCCATGAACTCTGAGACCAGGCTTTCTGCCGTCTTTCTATGTCTGTAAAAGAAAGCGAGAACTCAAAAATATGTTCATTAAAATAGTTTTTGCATATTAAAATGTAAATAATTTTGATTTTCTTATCTTTGTTAATGCAGCTCGTATCTGAACATGCCTTTGAAATTCCAGACAATGTTAGACCTGGACATCTTATTAAGGAACTTTCTAAAGTAATTCGAGCAATAGAGGTAAGAGGAGAAGCTCATCTAAATGCTTTGGTACTATCTCCCTTGAAAAGCAATAGATCTCTCCCATCACTGTAGCCAGTGAAAGATCTGACATACTTAAAGCAACAGCAAGCTGAATCTCAGACAGACTCTCCGGTTTCCAGGCTTCTCATGTCTTAGATAGAAATTTATAATATTATGTTGTAGTGGAGTAACGAAATAGTAAGGAAGCAGGTACCAAGTTACTTCAGGTTAGCAGAAAAATAAAAAATACATGGTAATCAGTTCAATTTTCAGATCTAATTAATGTCAGCTAATCAGAGATGAATACAAGTTAAATAATTAGAACAAGAGGAAAAACTAAGATGAGTGGATACAGGTAGGTGAAGTTGGGTCAGAAAGAAGGGTGGAAGTTGGGTTAAGCAAGGAGATATACCTGACTGACAGCCCTGGCAAGGTGAATGACTTTGATGAAGGTCCAGAAAGTCTGTGGCCAGGTATTTGAATTTATTAATTAAGAATTACTCTAGGTACTTAAGCAAAGGGTGTTTTAATTAAAGTTGTGTGTTGTTTTTGAATTAAGTGGAGGAAGGGAGGCCAACTGGTAATTTAACATCTTATATTAGGGCTGTGTTTAAGGAATGGTAAGAAGTATCTAAGAAAAATTAAAATGCTAGCTGTAGTATCTGTGGTAGAATAGTAATAGTTCATGTATTTTTCAGTGTGTTCAGTAGAAAGTCTGTATGTAATTACATATAAATAGATTTCATATAAAAATCATATAATCTCAAAATATAGATATAAATATATAAATAAATCTCAGGCACAATAACCAAAACTAAGTATAAATTCAAGAAGAAAAGGGTGAGTCTGTGTGAAAAACATCCTCTAAATCTTTACTAAGGGAAGTAAAATAGTAGTTGAATAAACAGGAATATCACTGCTAGTATGTCAACTCCAATATTACAGATTTAAAGTGGTAAAATACACCTGCAAGAATAATTGGGTTGGCCCAGATAGAACCTAGGTTAGTGTGGATCATAGGAATGAAAGGCTCCCTATTTATTGTTTACCTGAAATTAAAGTTTAAGTGGGCATCTTGTATTTTACCTGGCAGTCATAGTTCTACACAGAAGGGAAGGGATGTCTTTACAGAAAAATATAAATTTGGTGGATTACTGAATGGGTCTGAATGGTTGTCTGTTCTGAAGATGAATTTGGGGAATAATGATAAATAGAAAATATGGTGAATGTTTAAATTTTAAAAAGTTTATTATTACAGCAAAATACACATTGCCAAGAACAGTAAGTGTGTTTGAAGTGTGGGGGAGTATTTCAAGCATTTTGAAGGAGATGAATGGCAAAGCATCTTTAATATAATTTTTTGGGCTGGGGATGTAGCTGAGCGGCATAGTGCTTGCCTGGCAGGCTTGAGGTCCTCAGTTTAATCCCCAGTACTGCCAGAAAAAGAAATTTTTTTTGTTTTTGTTTTCTTGAGATAGGGTCTCACTAAGTAGTTCAGACTGCTCTGGAACTCTACTCTGTAGCCCAGGCTGGTCTCGAACTCTCAGAGATCCACCTGCCTCAGCCTCCCGAGTGCTGGGATTACAGATGTGAGCCACCACACCTGGCTGAAATAGAGTTTTTTGTTTTGTTTTGTTTTATTTTTTTATGGTACCCGGGATCAAACATGGGCCCTTGTGCTTAGGAGGCAGGAGGCAGAACCACTGAGCCAAATCCCTAGCCCAGTAATTTTTAAATTTAAACATTTGCTGTATCTTTTGATCACAGCTCATTAAACATATCTTTATGGCAGTTTCTGTGAAATAAAAACATTATGGTGGTTGGACCAGGGATTTAGCTTAGTGATGCTGTGCCTGCCTCACAAGTACAAGGTCCTGAGTTTGGTCCCTGGTACTGCAAAAAAAAGAGAAAAGAAAACATTATGATGTGTTTTCACCCACCACTTACTCACTGGATCTGGCACTGTGAGACTTTTAGCTCTTCCCAAAGGTCAAAATGATCAAGAAAGGTAAATGTTTTAAATTGATTCAGTACATCAGGGCAGCCGTGGCAGTACAACTAACGATACCCAGGAAACAGAACTTCCAGAACTGCTTCAGAAAATGACAACACTGAAATAAGTATGTTCGAATCCAGGAGGAATATTTTGAGGGGAAGGTTGATGGCAGTGTGCCTTCTACTGTGATCAATTTTTAAAAAATTTAAATATTTCCTGTAGTTTTTCTTTATCATACCTCATATATAGAAAACAGAAGAAATGGGAAGTTAAGCAATTTTTAACTCAAAGGAAAAATCAAAGCTGGACATGGTGGCACATGCCTGTAATCCTCGCATTCAGGAGGCTGAGGCAGGAGTATCAGTATCAATTTGAGGCCAGCCTGGGTTACATAACAAATTCAGGGCCAGCCTGTATTACATAGAGAAATTCTATCTCATAACAAACAACAATTAAAATAAAACTCAAAACAAAAATACCAAAATAGTAGATGAAGACATGTAATGTGAAATGTAATGATGATATGTGGGATTTAGCTCAGTGGTGCCACTGCCTGCCTTGCAAGCACAAGGTCCCGGGTTCAAACCCTGGTACCAAAAAAAAAAAAAAAAAAAAAAGTTACGTGGTACTGGGTATCCACAGTTTTTACTGAGTCCAATTTAAATACTGAATGTTAAAGGAAGGACCAGTATGTATAGATTTTAAAATGTGAGGATTGCCAGGCATTGCATATGCTTGTAATCCCAGCACTCAAGAGGCTGAGGCAGGAGGATTGCAGTGAGTGCAAGGCTATTCTGGGCTACATAGTGAGGTGAAAGACAGCCTGAACTGCCTAGTGAGACCCCATCCTTAAAAACAAACAAAAGTATGAGGGTTAAAACGTTATCTTGTATAGTAGGAATTTAGTAATATCTAAAGCTGAGAGCAGTTAAAACATGTTATTTAGGAATTTAGAGCACTGAATAAAAGTTGTAAGAATTCCAAAGTGCTTGCTGCTTACCTAGAATAATTGAAAGCAGACTCCCAGATTGGAGCTGTGTTCACAGCAGCATTATCCCAGTGGCCAAAAGGAAGGAGCAACCCAAGGGTCTGTCAGTGGATGAGTGGATGAACAAAGTGTGGTACATGCAGTACTTACTAAAAGAATGAAATCCTGATTCGTGGGTGGACTTTGTAGAGTTTTTTTGCTAAGTGGAACAGAAGAGTAGTGTATAATCCCACTTATGTGAGGTCCCTTGAATTGTAAGATTCATAGAGACAGCAGAGTAGTGGGCTGTGCATGTTGGTGCACCCCTGTAATTCTGTCAGTCAGCAGGCTGAAGCAGAAGGGTCTCTGGGAGTTTGAGGCCAGCCTGAACTACACAGTGAGACCCTGTCTCAACAAACAAACAAACACGACAAAAGAGCAAGCAGAAACAGTAGTTGTCAAAATGGGAGAACAGGAAGTTAGTGTTCAAAGGGAGGAGAAGACAGTGTTACCTCAGGGTGGAGCTTCAGGTGTCAGGGCTGCAGCTGAGATCAAGGCAGAAGAAAAGAAATGGTAGAGTTCATTTAAGCCAATATGAGTAAAATTTCTCCTTTATTTTTACATCATTAAGGGGGACTTTGAATCATTAAAATATCTCAATAAAAGTTAATTAACTAAATTCTTCGAGCTCCATTCTTTCTAGAAGGTATTGACAGCATTGAACTATTGCTGTGGGTCTGCTGTCCCTCTGCTATCATATACCTTTAATATATTTAACATGAAAGAACAGAAGAAGAAACCTCATAGGCATATTAGGTCATTAAATTATGCGATGTCCATACAATGGAATACTACATAGCTCTTAATCTGATACTGAAAATCAAGGAAATATGTCCACAGTATATTTTAGAGGGGAGAGAAGGGAATAAGGCTTACAGAAAGCTGAGTCTTTGACTAGGTCTTTTTCTCTTATATATTAAAGGGAATGGTTTTTGTTTTCTAAAATATTTTTATGGCTGATTGTTTAGTAAGGTTTTATAAAATAGTCTCCTCAAAAAACATACTCTGAGGGCTGGGCGTAGTGGCTCACACCTGTAATCCCAGCACTCGGGAGGCTGAGGCAGGAGGATTGCTGAGTTCAAGACCAGCCTGGGCTACATAGTGAGTTTCAGGTCAGTCTCAACTACATAGTGAGACCCTGTCTCAAAAAACAAAAAACAAAAAACCTACTCTGAATGTAATTCTTACAGGAAGAAAATGGCAAACCAGTTAAATCTCAGGGAACTCCTACTGTGTGTCCAGTTTCACGGTCCTCAATCGAAGCAACTTCTCCATATCATTCCCGACGGAAGATGAGGAAGCTCCGGGATCACAGTGTCCGAACCCCTTCCAACCTGGACATTCTGGAGCTCCACACAAGGGAAGTCCTCAAGAGACTGGAGATGTGCCCGTGGGAAGAGGCAAGTAGTGTTTTCTGATGAGAGGAGAAACTGGGTTGTCCCCTGAGGTTCTTTAAAGGGTAATAGCAGCCCCGGCTGCATGTTCTTGTTACCTGACCTTTGCTGGAGAATTGCAGGCTCACAGTACTTAAGGCAAAGGTGGGGGAAGGTGGGGGGTGGGGGGGTGGTTGCCAGGCCTCCTACATTTGCTGACATTTTTCCTGAGTGCTCACCAAGTACCAGGTGCTCTTGTCTGCTCTAGAGAAGACACCAGTTTGAGCAGAACTGTCTCATGAGCTTTCATTCCAGTAGAGTCAGAGGTGAGCAAACAGACAAACAGTATCATTTCTGGTGCTGGGTGTTCTGCAGGGGCCTGAAGCATCAGAGCAATGGGATGAAGTGTCAGAGTGTCAGAGAGCTTCTCGGGGGGACATTTGAACTGACACAAGTAACAGGAACAAGCTCTGGCTACAAAGCTGTGAGGAAATACATTATAGGCCAAGAAAGTGGATGCAGAACGCCTGTGCTGGGGCTTGCAGCACCAACCATCTGTTAGTGGGGCTGGGAGACTCAGAATCAATCTGTAGGAGTCAGAAGGCAGGTGTGGATGGGGTGAGATCAGCATGCAGTGATTTGGTAAAGATGGCCGTGAGCTCAAGAGATATGCCTCAGGCACAGGATGGGAGGGACTCTAAAGTAAGTAAAAGAAAGAGAGCTCTGAATTAAAATTTTAGGTTACACAGAAATCATGACCTTCTTAAATATCTTAAATTTGATATAATTATAGGAAAAAAACGTGTTGCAGGTCTGGGGATTTAGCTCAATGGTGCCACCACCTGCCTTGCAAGTGCAAGGTTCCAGGTTTGATCCCTGGTGCCCTAAAAAAGGAAAAAGTGTTCTAAACAATCTGTAGCAATCTGGGAAAGATTTAGCTCATTGTGAAAGGTTCTGTTTATTAAGGAAAAAATCATCCCCAAAAGGAAATACTTTCAATATATTAAAAAGCAGCTCCTATTCTGTGTCACATATGGCCTCTGTGGCTAGTGACAGCAGTGTGGCTCTGGAAGGAGGAGGCCGGAGTGTGTGGGAACCCTGGAGAAAGAGCACACAGATAATTAACGCAGTGCTATCCCAGTTTTCAGCTCTGCAAGAGCCATCTTCCCTTGATTTGCCTTGTGCAGGTTTTGTATTTCGCTTTGCAGATGGTATTTTATTGTTGATGGCCCTCCTGAAAGTCAAATGTTCCTCGAGCTTCTGCCTTAGGGACTCTGGCTTATATGAGGCAGAGCCGTGGGTGAGGTAGGGCACTGGGTATTCCTGAGGGTGGAGGATAAGTCAGTCTGTTTTCATACTTTAAGGACATGTCAAGCTCAAAATTGAATGGAAAATTCAACAAACATCTCCAACCATCTTCCACGGTGCCTGAATGGAGAGCAAAAGATAATGATCTGCGATTATTGCTGACGAATGGAAGAATAATTAAGTATGTAATTTTTAGTGGATTCCCTTGCTCATTTAACCCTGAGTCTGTGCTGATGCAGGCAGTCACCCAGGGAAAGTTCTCAGTTCTTTACTCTGTAAGTGAAAGGGTGGGAGCACGTAGCCCTGTACAGTTTCTGACTCGCATACTTTCCCCATGCTGCAGAGATGAGAGGCAGCCCTTTGCAGATCAGAGTCTCTATACAGCAGACAGCGAGAATGAAGAAGATAAGAGAAGGACAAAAAAAGCAAACATGAAGACAGAAGCAAGTTCAGGAATAGAAGGGATGGAAAGTGAAGAACCTCAGAAACCACTCAACAGTATGTTTGTTGTAATGGTCATTTCAAAATTCTGTTCTTTATTAATGTGATAGTTGGTAAAGAAACTTGTTACTAGGATTGAAAATCCATATACTGTCGAAAACTCTGAAGTCTGTCTGTGTAGTTTCCCCACGAGGGAATTGCTGATTGTGAGCGCCATGTGAAGTGTAGTGGCCAGGCAAGTGTTGGGCCAGTAAGACCCAGGTCTAGTCAGTTTTTAAAAGGTCTCATGAATGCTCCTACATTTTATGGCCTCTGCTCCCAAACATAAGTTTCAAGTATTATGCAATTTCATGTATATTTTTTGCTACCAGGTATATGGTTTTCAGAATTAGTATATATGATCTGGCCTGTTAGAAGCTGTTAGGAATCAACATGCTGTGGCTGCCCTTGACTGTTGACATTCTTAATGTCTCTACTAAGTTGTTGGTTGTCATCAAATGAAATAGTAATATCAGATGGCAGACTTAACACCTCCTTCTCCTTCAGAAGTTTCTTCCTTGAGTAGTCTCAATTTTTTAAACATTTTTTCAAGACCTACATATACTCTTATAAAAATAGTTAAACATTTTAGTAGTTGGATGAGTAAATGTTTCAGATAACAGATATTACTCAATCCATGTGGAATTCCTCAATTCTTGCTAATTCCAAGCACTGTAAACGTGGTACTCGTAGTTGGTGATTTGGCAGCCAGGGAAGAAGCAGCTCACCGGTAGGACTTTATGAAACAGTTGCTGTGTGGCAGTGCCAGGTGGCAAAGCTCAGTTTATAACCTTGCTGAACTCATGGTGTCTGAATGCACTTAGAAGAGTTACCTTCTGTTTTCTGTTGAAGAAACTAATACAAAAAGGAAAGTGAAAAGCATCTTGCAACGAGGGCCTCTCATGTGCTAGGCAAGTACTTTACCACTGAGCTATGCTTCCAAACTAATTTTAATCTTGAAGGTTCATATCTGGAAGGAAATAAAGTCAGCCCATTCAAGAAACATAATCATTTTTAGTAACTATGACAAAAGTTTTCAGAACATACTTAAATCTGTAACTTTGCCAATTAGGAAGAGAGACCTTGAGGTGAAACAAAGGGAGAAAATAAAAACAGTGTGAAAGGAGGGCAGGACAGAGGAGATTGAGAAATATCACGAAGCTGGGTAGACCTGAGAGATCGCCTTGTCATCTTGTTCATAAGTTCTAATGAGTTTTTCTTTCCCATCTTCATCAGGGCTTTTTACAAGTGTGAAGTCAGAACTCAGGAATCGATCCTCAGAATATTCTGATATTTCTGATTCAGAAGACTCTGGACCTGATTGCACTGCACTGGTATGCTTGCAGCCCTGTGGCGTGTGTGTCTGGGAAGGTGAATGCCTGTGCACTTTCACCTGGGAGGATGGCACATGACAGCTCTCTCAGAGCTTGGCTCTGACTGTGCAGCACATGGTCTTCCTGCAGTGGTGATCACATACATGCGTCACACTTTGCCATTCACCAGATTAACGAGGGACACTTCTGCTTATACTGTCATTCTGTTGCTCATATTTCTCACAGCTTATGTTTTATTTTACCTTACAGAAAGCCTGTACTGTGTGTTTTTAATTCAGGTTGTATGTTAGTATAGTTACTAAAAATCTTCATAAGAAACACAGAAGTAATTCCATGATAATTAAGATTCTGACTTTGCCTAGACAGATAGTCTCTTTTAATTAATTTGTATAGACTTGGCCAATTTCTTATTTATTCCATTTAAATATTTATTATTTCAGAAAATTAATTTTACCACTGAAGAATCTGAAAGTTCAGGTGATGAAAAGAAACGAGAAGTAACGTCAAACTTCAAGGAGGAATCTAATGTGATGAAGAACTTCCTTCAGAAGAGCCAGAAGCCATCTAGAAATGAAATTCCAGTTAAAAGGTAGGCTTATTAGTGGTAGCAGTTGTTTTATATTGTAATATAGATGCTATGAAAAGTGTTTGTTTTAAATTTTATTAAATGTGTCATCAACAAAAATAAACTGTTGCCTTTTTGACTCACTTGCCCCTTAGGGAGTGTCCTACCTCCACGAGCACAGAGGAAGAAGCTATTCAGGGCATGCTGTCCATGGCAGGATTGCACTATTCCACATGTTTACAAAGGCAAATACAAAGCACAGACTGCAGTGGTGCAAGGAACTCTCCCGAGGACCCCAGCAGCTACCACAGCAGTAACCATGAGGTTAGGCAGTCGTATCGCTATGATAAACCAGTGGAATGTGGTAAGAAACATAAATTATCAGTACCTAAAAAGTAACATGACCCCTTACTATTATTAGCACTGTAATTCTAGTTTAGATTAGAGATTATACAAATAAGGACTGTTTGTCGCAGGTAAGATGCAGGCATCAGAACTGAAAATGTAGCTGGGGATTTAGCTCAGTGGCACTGCACTGCCTGGCAAATGCAAGGTCCTGAATTTGATCGCTGGTACTGCAAAAAAAATACCTGGAAATGTCAGTTGTGTTCATTGCTCTTGCAAGGCAGTATTATTTTCCTTTTATTAGCAGCTTGACCAGGGTGGAAGGATGTTCCAGTCTCTTAAATGGTGTGCTAAGCCAGAACATTCAACCCTTTTTTCTTTTATGAGAACAAAAACAAGTTTTGAATTGTTTTTTCTTCTTGATGATATTCTTCCTCTTCCTTGAAAAGGAAGCATTAGGAAAAGAGCTGACTCAGTGGCATATCAGTGATGCCATCTAGTGTTTTCTTATCTGTGCCTTTGTAGAAAAACTGTATTTCCCCAGAACTCTGAGGATTGGAGACAACACACTACTATATTAAATCGAATGCCCATGTAACATTTGCATTCAGTCCTTTGTCATTAAGGGTCAATTATGCAACAGAAGCTTGATACCTATTTCACCTAATTCTTGAAACATTTACGGGCTTGGTAGTATCAATCCCATTTTATAGGTAGAAGAAAGAAGACTTAGTGAAATTAATTTAACTTGTCTGCACTTTGAACCCAGAATAGTCTGATCCCAAAGTTTTTACTTGTAAGAGGAAACTGAAGTTTGGAAAGATTACAAAGCTTGCCTAATGTTGCATTAGTAATCAAACAAATCAAATTTAAATCTGGGTTTGCCTATCTTTCCAACAGTCCCGTTTTGTCTTTCTGTAATCTTTTTGTCACTTAAAAAAGAGAAAACTTTTGTGGAAGTTCAGACAAGCATCTGCCTTATTCTACATGGGAAAACGTGCCAAATTTAGAGAGTATAATGTGTTTGGTTCCACGTCGATAACACACGGGCATCGGGTTTTCCTCCTGCTCTCAACAGCTGGCCCAAAACCTGTCTATAAGGACAGAGAACTGGGCTGGGGATTTAGCTCAGTGGTTCTGCCGCCGGCCTCGCAAGCACAAGGACCTGAGCTCGATCCCCGTACCAAAAAAAAAAAA